TTAAAAAAAAATGCTGTTGATGTCATCATACTAAGGTGGTTCACCCTGTATATTAAATTATAATTTGAAAAAATAGTAAATTAAAATCAAAAATCGACCTGTTTCGTAAATTTGTAATAATGTTGTTTATTTGGCTATTAATGAATTTATGCGTTACTTTATGGACGCACTGTATAATTTTTCCTAGGAGATTCAATTACAATTTATTCACATTAGGGATTATAAAGTATGGGACATGCGCTTTAAAAAAATTATCTTGAACTTCTCAATTAATTTTCATTTACCTATAGTGAACGTGACAACACCAGATAAATATTAAAATAGTTTGTTTCCCAAAATAATTTAAAATTTGAATTTGAAATAGATAGATCATGGATGCACAGATCGCGGCCCGCGGGCCGCATGCGGCCCGCCGGCCGAATATTGGTGGCACGCCGACAACAAAAATAATACTCTTGTACATTCGAAAATTATTGAATTCTATTCCAGAATAAAACCAAAAAAAAATATATGTTCGAAAAGTAATTTGAATCTCGCGCGCGCTATTTGAATCTAGTGCCCAAAAATGCTAAGTCAAGTAACATCGCTTGCTACCTTTATATAAAGTTTAAAATAGTAGAGAAATCAAGTATAGATCTTCATATAGATCTAAAATTAGATCTATATGAAGACTTGGAAATAGTCAAAGAAAAACAAAAAAGCCCCAATTGTGTTAATCGCCATGTATCTTTCAACCGTGACTTTCAACCTTTACATCGTCAACTTTTTTCATAGTCCACACTTCACAATACTGTCCTATTTTCTCTGCCTTATTTTCTTATACAAACGTCAACACCTTATTCCTACATAATCTTATGGTTCTTCAAACACCCATTTTATTCAATATCGTCACACCTTCCTCTCACAAATTTCTGACCCCAATTTTAACTTCAGAACCATCCACATCCATCATACCTTTCACTATCTTATCCACTCTTCACTTCTACATCGTTTTCCTGTTAATTCTGTTCTCTTTCATTATTTCTTGGTCAATTCATATATTAAACATGTATCCAATAGTTTTAATTTAGTAATCACTCAAACATTATCTAACAATTTATTAAAATTCATAATCTACCATATTACAAAGAATCCTAATCTACCTTTGTCCACCTTCTTTCGGTCAACAACTTAGTAGCACACTTATACAACAAATTTCAGGTTTCTACAAACTGAATTTAATACCACCTAAATAGATTTTGTTCAGGGTGCTAGATACTTTAAGTATAAAGGACCCCTATTATCTCTAATTGTTGATCAACTCCTTTTCTCCCTCAACCCCCCCCTCCTTTTCTTCGGTCATTTCTTTTACTTTCATTCTCATTAGTCTCTGAGGAACCCAGTCTCTTCAATTTTAAATTCAATCACATATGTTACTACTTCAATTTCTTCAGCCTGTAGATTTCCATCTTACTAAACTTAATTTTATTAATTTTCACCATAGGAGCATTCTTAAATAAAGTCATTTAAATATGAGGTCTGATATTAGCTTCAAATATTTGTTATTTAATTTTTACCTTGTCCTAGATGTGTTAAACATAAAAGGATAAATTTCATAAATACAAGCTAACCCAAAATTAAATACACTTTAGACCACATTCCATACGACGAAAAGCAACATAAGTTGCCTAAGGCACAGGTCATTATATTAATCATGACTATAAAACCATCATTGATTTGACATCTTTTATACCCTAAATTAATAAATAAAAAGTTTTTTAAATCCCAACACCTAGATTGTTGTTATTTTTTAAAATCATCAAAACTTGTTGAATCTTTTGGCTGTAGTAATACTATGTACAACTTTTATAGTTTTTGTTGCATTGACATTCTGTTATCTTCATCCTTCAAAAGTATCTTGTCAATCAGTTCCACGTTGTTCTCTGAGTGCAGAGGTTCCCTCTCACCCGGCTCTGGAACCCAATTGAGCCATGTGTTACCTTTAGTCAAATTTAATTTAATATTGAACATCACAGTTATTTTATAACACAATGTACAACATTTCATAACTAAATGTAATTTAAAGGGTTTTTACCCTAATATTTTGGTGGCTCAGGCATTATGACCTAGTAAGTATAACCATCTTTTGCTTTTCAACCATAGTCAAAATTTCAAAATCTCGTTTGTTTTAACTAAATGGTTTATACTTATTTTTAGGCATTTTCGATTTTAATAACCTGATGATGGACTGTGTGGTCCGAAAACGTTTGTTTTATTGATGTGGCCCTTTTAAGGGTTTTTTAAATAAATATACCCATTTACAAAGATTAACCTCTTTTTGTTATACGTGGTATACAGCCTTGGCTGTATACCACGTATCCAGCTACAGGAATTTTTCCTTGTGGATTTTTTCATCAATCAAGTATGTTCTAGCGCGGTGCGAGCAAGCATGATAGCAGTAGTCCCGAATTTCTGATTGCTCGCGTAGGAATACGAAGCTTCCACAGTCGTATGCACAGAGTACAGTTAAGGTCGATTCAGACACATCACGGTCCTGTGACCAAACAGGACCGGTTCAGCGCCGAGACTGTGACGGGACTGATGTGTCTGAATCGACCTTTACACGTCGATTTACTATTGCAGTGTTAACCCGTCAAGTGCCGTGTATAATTGTGTTGTGAAATCGTAAGTAAAACTCTGTTATTAATAAGTGTTTCCCTACCTATTTAATCAATTTTAATCAAATTTAGCTTTAATGTTGGCCAAATATTAAAATAAAACAAAGAAATTACTATTTTTATCAGAATTTCTCTAATTGTAATAATTACGTCATTATTTCAGATATAAAATCTGTATAAAAATCTTAAAATGTCTTAGGAATAATATTCAATCAATTATTTTTGATAATTTAAAAAAGGATGGGTAATTCAAGTTGGTCCTGTAATTGTTTTCAGGTGCTGTGTTAATCCTAGCCAGGATTAGAACGCAACATGGAGAAGCCAGGACCTAGTAAAAAACGTAAGGTTAAAGATGAAAATCGGCAGTTTCAAGAAATTTGGACTGAGAAATACTTTTTTGTATGGTCGCATAACAAAGTCGTTTGTTTAATTTGCAAGAATTCTGTTGCGATTGCAAAGGAATATAATGTAAAAAGGCACTATGAAACGCAGCATCCTTCTTTTACCAAGTTTACAGGCGAATTAAGAAAGCAAAAAATGTTGTCTTTAAAACGGGAGCTTATTGGTCAGCAAGCTATGTTTACAAAACCCATTTAAGATTCAGAAACAGCTACAGAAGTTAGTTATGAAATTTCTCGAATGATAGCAAAGCGAAGTCGCCCCTTCAATGATGGCGATTTTGTAAAAGAATGCATAGAAATTGCCGCTAAGAAAATGTGTCCAGAAGCATCAAAAAAGTTTGAGAAAATTCAACTGAATCGTATGACTATCCAAAGACGAATAATATCTTTGTCAGGTAATATTGCGGAACAATTAATTGAAAAAACTAAGATCATTGAATTTTTTTCATTAGCACTCGACGAATCCACTGATATTAGTTCCACAGCTCAACTTCTCATATTCATACGAGGTGTTACTCAAGATTTTGAAGTCTTAGAAGAGTTATTAGGAATGTGTTCATTGAAAGGTCAAACCAAAGGAGTTGATATACTCAATGTTCTTTTGGATGAGTGTTCAAAAACTGATTTGGACTTATCAAAATTATCGGGAGTTGCGACTGACGGTGCTCCTTCGATGATTGGTGTCAATTCCGGGCTAGTTACTTTGCTGAAAAAGCATCTGCAAGAAAAAAACATAAACGCTGAAGATCTTATGCAGTTTCACTGCATTATACACCAAGAAGCCCTCTGTTCTAAAAAAATTGAATTTCAAAATGTCATGAAAGTGGTAGTTTCGATTGTAAATTTCATAAAATCACGAGGACTCAATCACAGACAATTCAAACAATTCCTTGATGACATCGAAAGACATCGTGGATTGACACTGGAACGATTTCTAAATTTAATAGAAGAAATTGGAATATTTCTGGCGGAAAAGCAAAGGGATGTCCCGGAACTTAAAAATCCTGATTGGTTGTGTGATTTGGCTTTTTTAGTTGACATTACAAATCATTTGAATGTCTTGAACACACGGCTTCAAGGCAAAAATCAACTGATATCCCAGCTCTACGCTCATGTATCATCCTTTCAATGCAAGCTGACACTATTCAGATCACAGTTGAATTCTGGAAATTACAATCATTTTCCGAATTATAAGAAAATGTCTGAAAAATTCAACAAAACTGCGATTAATTTCAGTTATGTAGAAAAGCTAGATATTTTGATTCAATCTTTTCAAGAAAGATTTTCGGAATTTAAAAAAGTGAAACCTCTGTTGGACATATTCAGCAATCCTTTTACGATTTCAGTTGAAAATGCGCCAGAGTCAATGCAGTTAGAAATTATCGACATTCAAAACGACCAAGATTTACGCAACAAATTCAACGAAGGAGACTTGCTGAACTTTTACCGCTGCATTGATAAAAATATGTACGAAAGAGTTGCGCATAAACGCTCTGAAATGTGCCAGCTTCTTTGGTTCTACCTATATATGTGAACAAACTTTTTCAATACTAAATAATAATAAAACAAAAAATCGAAACCGCCTTGCAAATGAAAGTTTGGAAGCAGTTTTACGTGTTGCTACAAGTAAATTTGAGCCAAATATAAAAAAGATTGTAAGCACTATGCAGTGCCACGCTTCAAATTAATAAATTATTTTTCAATTTTAATAAATTATTATCAATTCTTTATTGTCTTTAATTACCTATACTTCTGGCGGCCGGCCCGCCATCAGTTCATGATTTGCCCGAGTGGCCCCTAGTCTTAATAAGTCTGTGCATCCCTTAGATAGATAATAAAATTTTCCTTGCTACGCAACCACCTCGGCTGTTCAAAATATTTATTGATTTCGTAAATTAAAATTTACGAAAATTTACGTAAATTGAAACAAAAAAATACTTACATTAACAAGAGTTCGTCGAACAATCTGATTAACCCTAAGATCGTATATCTAAGTCCAAATATCCTAAATAAAGCCCTATGTAGTGCAGTCTTTTTGTGTATCCTATATTCTTCCTTCCATGCTTTTTCTAATTTTGATCCTAGTCTACTAGATGTGTGCTCCTTCAACGGAGAAAATAGTTCTTCTTCTGTTAATTTGTACTTGTACGTTTTTTTGAAGATAGGGAACATATAGCTGAAACAATAAATCAAGTTAAGTATTGGTTTTTCAATTAACTATAAATATATGTAATTACTAGTATTATAGAGATTGAGAAAAGTCTGGCAATAAAGTGTTCGGCCATCATTGAGATAGATAAATTTAAAATTATAAAATTATCGTGTACTAGATAGCATTGTAAACACTTTGTCGTCAGATTCGTAATCCCGTATGAAATATTAAATTCGTTTACGTTATTAAATATTAAATTTTCTGGATTTATTATCATTTGTTCTCATATGTAAATGCATTGTAGACAGACGTTGACATACTTAAGGTCGATTCAAAGACATCATTCACGTCACAGTCCCGGCGCCGAACCGGTCCCGTCTGGTCACAGAACTATTCGTTCGTCTATTCGCACACACCCGAAATGCATCAGTCTTCGGCGACCAATCTGTTGAAAAGATGGAAAGTTTCTCGGATGAAGAATTAGCAATAATAGCTATATGTTTGGACGAGGAAGAAGAAGCGCAAGCAAACCAAGCAAAAAGACGGAAATGGATCCATGACGCATGGAAAAAAGGGATACAGAAGGAGAATACTGACACTGTATAAAAAACTGCTTCATAAAATTTCATCAATATTATTTAGGATGTCGAAAAATTGCGTTCTTGCCAAATATTATTTTTAAAATTAATGTCCATGTATTTTGCATGCGACAAATCATATAAAACATTATATTTTATTAAACATTCTATTAATTGTTTGTAAATATTTTTATTTTGTTCACTTGTACCGCCCGTCATGTTGTAACAAAAATGGATTGGCTGGAGCGCCAATATAACAAGAATGTGTAGTGTAGCAATAGGGTAAACTCTAAAATGTACCTTGATACACCAACGAACTAATATGTGGACTAACAGAAGATGAAAGGGATTAGATAGAAATAAATTATGTGAAAGAAATAAATAAAGGGTAAATATGAATTTTAAAATATAATAAAATTAATGCTGGCTAGCGACTATGCAGGAGAATGACCACTTGACAATCAAAGAGGGATTCGGCCAATTTGCATGCCCTACAGAGACCGTAAGATGTAAGAATTAATGACTAGAAACTACCAAGAAATAAACAGAAGAAAGATAAAGTTGCTCTACTGAATGTTTGGGCGCCAGGAAGTTAAATGGTTTCTTCCGAGATATCTTGTATTGCTGAAATATTAAAGGATAGGTACCAAGTGAAATCTTAAATTGTTTTAACCCAACTTTAATAAAGACCTATTTTATGTACAAATTATTTAACCCCTTATATTTAACAATATAACCCAACACCTCTTATGTACAATTAACTAATCTATATTTACAATGAAAACCCCTGAATGCAATGATAAAACAGTTTCCCCTTTCCCAAATGTACCTATTTATGTGAAATGTTGACTAAGGTTATGCAAGTTATATAAATATAATATAAAATGAAATATATAATGATATAAATGTTACAATTATCGAATAAATGAAATAAAACCTCTCCGGATATGTGTGCACACTATAACCTGTTAACGAGAGATTCCAGGGGAGTTACAATCTCAACCCTTGATGAATACTAAATGTTTTAATAAATTTACACTGACTATTATTTAAAAAAAATGAATATGATTATTATTAATAAAAAGTTAAAGCCTTGAAGAGGAAGTTAAAAGGTATTATTACAAATATTAAATGAAAACAACAAAAAAACAAAACTAGTTCTTCCTGTCGGTTTCTTTCTCGTGGACCTGGGAGGTGGTCAGGATGAAGAACTAGATGCAGGTGGGTAGAGGTCCAAAACTGGACTCCAATAAAAGGTACTGAGACTTTTTACTCTTTAAACTAAAACCATAGAATTCTTCCCTGTGTTTAAATCCCCATAAATTTAAATTAAAAGTGTTTCTTCCCTCCCCGACTTGTCCTGGAATCCGTAACTAGGCTAAAAAAACACAGTTGTGTTACTACAAAGTCCTTTGTTCATACAAGAAAGTAAAGAAAAACCAAGAAATGTCAACACGTTGCTTCAAATTGAAGCAAAAACTATAATGTGTTTCTTTAAAAAAAATAACCTTGGGACTGTATGAAAATGTTTGGATATATTAACTAGGTAATTTTAAGGAACGCCTGGTATATAGATTATAGAATCGAAAAAAAAAGTATTAGCCGGTTTAAACGGTATGGAATTATAATAGTATAATTGTTGGTTTTCATACTTGTAAAGAAATAAAATTATAAAAATTATTACTTGTAATCTGTTAAGGTATTTAGGAAATAAATGGAATAGTTAAATAGACAGAGATGTAATATCTTGAAAGAGGATTAAAGAATTAGATTTAAATTTCACCAACAATGGCGGATGATCTGACATGTTTTTATATATAATTTATTTATAATTTAAAACTCACCGGCTGTGGTCCAAACTTAAAGTATTTTCCCAAAAAAACAACAACGTAACAAAAAGGCTTCTTCCAACACAACTGATTTTCCAAAAAAAAATAAAAAAATTAAACCAAACTCATGGAATAAAGATGGCCCCCACAGCCGCCTCTGAACACGTCTGCTCACTTCACGGTTCCAAGATCAAGTAACGAACACACGATGTTACGACGGAAACGAAGTAGAATTTTTACATAGAGGGCGCAACTTGCTGCCAACTTTTAGGCATAAAATTTACTGAAGTTATTTGAATTTTAAGCATATTTCAAAATGAATTTAATTTATAATTAAGTTAAAGGATTCCAGTGACAGGACAGTAAGTGGGTATTTAAGTAACGGACTCGTTACAATGTTCCCGGCAAAACCGAAAAAAAAATCGTCGCTGAGATTATAAAATCGGCCGGGCGCTAGACGTGTCGAAACCTGACTGCTGGGAAACTGTTCATCAACTGATGAATGTGAATGCCGTAGGAGATTTTTGTAGGAGATGTAAAACCCAATACTTCTGCAGGACCATCCCGTGTTCAGTCATCTCGAGTAATGGAAAAAGAATCAGATGAGGATTGACTCAAGATGAGGATTTTTTGGCAGATAGGGTTAGTGTCTATTAGACCATAAGAAAATTCTTTACAAGATTCAAACTGGGGACCTGTTTCCAAGAATTTTCCAATTTTCGATTGTCCTTTGAACTTTGGCATTCCTGAAAATTTGAATAACGAAATGGCTGGTAAAAATGAGCTGTTATTCTTTGAACTTTTCGTCTCTAAAGATGTTATAAATATGATTGTTCTAGAAACAAATAGAGCAACAAATTCTTACTGAAATAGTAACATGAAACAATGACGAAAGAGTCACGTCTTAATTATTGGAAAGAGACTAACTACAGTGGAATGCGTACATTCATAGCGCTTCTTCTTTGGATGGCACTAGACTCAAAGCCGTCATTAGCTATCACTGTAGCAAAATCTCATTATATAAAAGTGATATTGCTGAATACATGCCCCGAAATCGGTTCGAAATGCTCTTGCGCATGTTTTATCTAGTAAACAATGACGAGTGTTCTGAAAATGGCAGACTTCATAAAATTCAATGTCTGATCAATGAAATGAACGCTAAGTTTCATCAATGTATGATTCCAGGGTCAACTGTTTGCACTTATGAAACTATAATCCACTAGAAAACTAAGTTCCTGTAGCTGGCTGTAGACCATATATCACAAAAGATTTTATTTCAAATCCTTTATAAAAGGTATATAATAAAATGCCCAAACGGGCTATCACAATTACATTACAGAACATGAATGTGTTGCTTGTGTGAGTCCATTTCAAATAGATAAAGAAATAATAAATAAGACTTACTCACAATCAATTTAATTTAACTATCAGACGACCGGTTTCGCTTTCTACAATATGCAAAGCATCCTCAGGTCTCGATACAAAGTTAAACAAATGCTGAAATAATAAAAACCCATATTAGAGTGTTGTCTAATAACGATAAACAAAGTAGATGTTGTAAATTACAATAATTATGCCAATATTACATGTCTGTGGTTTTATTTAAATGAGTAAGTTGAATAAAAAGTATAAAAGTTTTAAAAGTTTAAACAGACAAGGTAAGGCCCACAAATTGTTATAAAATAGTCTCTTCGATTGTAATAAATTAATAAATAAGCAAATAAATAAAATAAACATTACTTACATGCCGGTACTCTATTAATTGATGGATGGTAGAACATGGTTGAAACTACTATGTATTGTTGAATGGAGAACTCAATTCTATTATTGCAGTTGTTTGACAGTAAACGGGAAGTTTTTGAGGAGATAGATTTGATCCAATAAAGAAGAGATATGTGTGTGATTGTTTGTTAAATGAAAGTGATGTAATATACCATTGTGTTATTAAAAGTTATTTATACTTATTCGAGAGATATATTTTTGAAATGTGTATTGAATGAAATAACTTTTAATAACACAATGGTATATTACATCACTTTCATTTAACAAACAATCACAGACATATCTCTTCTTCATTGGATCAAATCTATCTCCTCAAGAACTTCCCGTTTACTGTCAAACAAGTGCAATAATAGAATTGAGTTCTCCATTCAATAATACATAGTAGTTTCAACCATGTTTTATCATCCATCAATTAATAGAGTACCGGCATGTAAGTAATGTTTATTTTATTTATTTGCTCATTTATTAATTTATTACAATCGAAGAGACTATTTTATAACAATTTGTGGGCCTTACCTTGTCTGTTTAAACTTTTAAAACTTTTGTACTTTTTATTCAACTTACTCATTTAAATAAAACCACAGACATGTAATATTGGCATAATTATTGTAATTTACAACATCTACTTTGTTTATCGTTATTAGACAACCCGTTATTAGAAGACTCTAATATGGGTTTTTATTATTTCAGCATTTGTTTAACTTTGTATCGAGACCTGAGGATGCTTTGCATATTGTAGAAGGCGAAACCGGTCGTCTGATAGTTAAATTAAATTGATTGTGAGTAAGTCTTATTTATTATTTCTTTACCTACATTACAGAACGTTTTCGAAATG